GAAATTACTCCCAAAAGATCATTTAAAGTCATTGTTGTGTAAAGCATCAAACAAACATTACAAAAAGTAGCTTCAGCAAGAAATATTTTGTTTTATTTGGCTCTTTTTGACCATGCGGGTGAGTAAATGATGACACAATTTTTTCCCATTTTTGGGTGGGTGATACTTTTAATAATTTCTATTATTATTATTATTATTATTATTACTATGGAAATATGAAATTATTTCTTTAATGAAATGATACTCTAAATAATAAACTGCCAGTAGGTGGTGGTAAATGTCTTAATGATTAAGTCATTCATTTGATTCGTTGAAAAGGCTGATTCATTCAGGAGTGAAGTAAATGGTTCTTTATGAATGGTCCTTTGAATCATTAGGCTTGTTCGACATGAAGCGGATCATCACCATCAGACCGATCGGTATGTGACATTAAAGTACCACCTTTGATGTCACACACACCGATCGATCAGTGTAGCGCCGCTTCAAATCCAACGCGCCTATGGCCAATGGTTCAACGCACCAAATGGTTCACCCAATTCGTTCAAAACGTGCATTAAGAAGGCACTTAGCCTATTGCTCGTGTGATATTGCTAAACTATGTGATGTAAATATGAGACAACAACTGAAACGGGCATTTTTCCCCATATCTTGACTTTTAGGGACATTCTAACTACGTTCTCTAGGCTCCATCACGCAGTGAGTTGTTGCCCTGCCTCATATTTGTCATCAATCAACTGTATGAAATGTCAGATGAACGTTCTCTAGGCTCCATCACGCAGTGAGTTGTTGCCCTGCCTCATATTTGTCATCAATGTATGAAATGTCAGATGACCCACATAGGTCTGGGGCGGGGCAAGTGCGTTAAATGCTTTAATAAATTGAACGCGTTATTTTTCACCGTGATGAAAGTTAAAGGTTCTTAAAGAAATCATAGATGCCAAAAAACAAAACAACAACAACAAAAAAACTTCATTTTTATGAGAAAGAAAGCTGTGTACGTCAAGACATTAATAGGCAAATTCATGGACAATTATAGGCATTGGGTAAGATGACGCACTCAAGGTCTTTCTGTTAATAAATTATGCAATGAAAATTTCCTCCATTTGAATTTTAGCCAATTTGTCAATCTATTTAATTTCTCAGGTCACCAAATTACATGTTTCTAAAGAACATCTGGCAACAATGGAGGCTTTATTCTGCTTAGGCAACACATTTTTTTTAACATTTTTTTATATGTATTTATGTCAGTGTGTCATTGTGTAGTTAGACAGGTCCGCTCTGATATGGTCATCACAGGCGACTAAAACACTGAGCTTGTTTGAGCAGCTTAACAAAGAAACACTTAATCAAACAATTGTATGAGGTTTGGGTAGTTGGGACTGTATGAAAAGTCTACCTGTGCCTCCTCGTGTGCGGAGCGTTCCCTGCTGTGTGGATGTGTTGACCCCTCCAAAGACTGTCACACCCTGCGTGACCCCAGCGCCATGGAAGTTGTTGTAGTTGGGAATAGCGGTGACCCCAGTGACCGCGCTGAAGCTGGGGTAATGCTGTGGTGTGGGGTCGACGCCATACCGATAACCTACTGCGCTCTGAGACAAGCTGGTGTCCCGGTCCTCGGTTAACTTAGCAGCCTCTTTGTCCTTACACTGCACACAGCCCATCCTCTATGATCTGACAGAGACAGAGAGAGATTAGGAATAAACTACCCGTGTGAAAAAGAAGTAGCCTTTAGCAAAAGTGTGAACTGATTATAATGAATGTGTCTAAAAACATTGCATTGTAAGATTTCAAATTAAGATTTTAACTGATGAGTTGAATTGTTCAACACAATTAAGCAGACTTTTTTTCACAATGTTAACAACAGCTTAAAGGAACACTCCACTATTTTTGAAAATAGGCTCATTTTCCAACTCCCCTAGAGTTAAACAGTTGAGTTTTACCGTTTTCGAATCCATTCAGCCGATCTCCGGGTCTGGCGGTAGCACTTTTAGCTGTAGCTTAGCATAGATCATTGAATCTGATTAGACCGTTAGCATCTCGCTCAAAAATGACCAAAGAGTTTCTATATTTTTCCTATTTAAAACTTGACTCTTCTGTAGTTATATCGTGTACTAAGACCGAGGGAAAATGAAAAGTTGCGATTTTCTAGGCTGATATGGCTAAGAACTATACTCTCATTCCGGCATAATAATCAAGGAATTTTGCTGCCGTACCATGGGTGCAGCAGGCGCAATGATATTACGCAGCACCTAAAAACAGTCCTAGCTAGGTAACTTCCAATAAGCCTATTTTCAGGCGCTGCGTAACATCATTGCGCCTGCTGCACTACAGCTAGAAGTGCTACCGCCAGACCCGGAGATCGAAAACGGTAAAACTCAACTGTTTAACTCTAGGGGAGTTGGAAAATGAATCTATTTTCAAAAATAGTGGAGTGTTCCTTTAAGAACATGGATTTAAAAAAAAAATTATAATAATCTTAGACACACTGAAAAGAGTTACG